ATCGAAACCCGGATTCTAGCGTTGTAAGACCGCAGACATACCGCTGTGCCAATGGGGGGCTTTATCTTAAATAGCCAAGTAACTACTGGTTGGATATGCTATACAAATTATTGTTATTAGTTGAATAAAGAATTCTTATATTTCACTAAAGGCAATGCCCTCTGAATAGTTGCTACTAGCAACGGAGGAAATGTATGTATTGAGTACGACTTTTTTTTTTGTAATATAAAAACGTTTAGCCTTTTTATTTTTCTTTTAGAGAAAGATTCTTCTGCTGGTAGGCCTAAGTAATATTATCCTGAAAGTATAACAGGAAAAGAATTTCAGAGCAAAAAGGCAAGCATATGTTGAAAGGTAACCTTTTTTCGTTGTAATTTGTAACAATGAATTATTAAATTTTTTGGAAAACTGGTGTGCGGTCTATAAAATATAACCAGAAAATTTTACCACGTAGACTTCCTTTTTTACATTATAATCACTTGTATTAAGGGCTTAAAAGTATGTTTGTTTGTTAGAGCAAAGTCATTTTGGTTATCCACTGAGTCCACCACGAGGAATCGGGCACCAGATTTTAGCGCTGTCCCACCGAGAGATAGGCCTAAAACTTTCTATAGATAATAATTAGGCAGTTGTACACTGTGACGAGTTAATAATAACGACTGCAGATAACATGAAGGCCAGGTATTTACAGCAAAGTACAAACAGTATGTTTGAAAGTATTTTTTTCGACGTGAGAGTGTTTAACTTCTAAAGAGCTATTTTATCTGTTCACCAAAATGTATTTATTTTTTTTTAAATCCATTTCATATTTTTAGTCTAGGTGTTCAATGATTTTGTTATGAATTTAACTTAAATTTACCACCAGAATATTATGCGGAATTTCAGAGACAAATTCTTATTTTCTAATTTCGCAAAGAAAGAATATTTTTATAATACCCTCAATAAAGTATTTCTTTTATTGATTCCTAATGTAAAAATACTTTAATTAGTAATGAATTACGTTATTAAGAATAATAATAATAAATTTAGTAAGAGTGTTAATGAACTCTATTGTTGGGTATATTATTTTATTTCATTTCCGAAAAAAAGAAGCTTTAAAATTTATTCCAAAGACGTTTAGAAATAATGTTATTCGAGACTAGGCAGTATTCAATCCAGTATATTGAGCAGAAAAGCTAAAATGTATTAAATTATTTGATAGAAAAATTTAAGATATAATCAAAAAATCACATGAACCTGATAAAAGGAAGCCTTGTTGTTTTCTGAAGGTCAGAAAAAAAAATATATCTAGCAAAAAAAAAATATGCATAAAATCTACAATGTAGGGGAGACCGGGGGTAGTTGTTACAGGGGCAAGTTGATACAGTGCCTCTAGCTCTTCTTGAGATTAATAGACGACGATAGTTCATGGACCATCGAACACGTGTTGCGCAAGCTTTGTTTTAATGGCGACATGAATAAGATCAGTCACGAAATAAAAAAGTTATGTACATTTTCTGTTTTTGCATACCTAAACTAAAAAAAAAGTA